GTTTACATTATAATTGCATACAGTGGTATTAATATTCCCTTTAACTGGAACTGCTCAGCATACACAACATAAACACATACCAAGTTTGGTGGAGATGAAGTTTTCAAATCATGAACACTACATCTACAATAGACCAACTCTGAGAAATACCTCAATGGTCAAAGTCATGTTTGCATCACAACATGATTTCTGTTTGTCCTTTAGCATGTTTTTTTTTACCAATGAATAGACTGTTGCATGTTTGAAACAAGTGCTGGACCATAGTGTGAAATGAAGTGGTGATGAAGTACTGGAGGTTTATCAAAACAATGAACTATTTCAAACACCCCAGGAGTAATGACATCTGGAAATCTTGTTGGGGTTGACAGGAGAGCACATCCACAGGCCTTTTGAAAATCACTGACCAAATATTTAATCTTCTTCTCATCAGAGAATGGCCAAGCTTGTTCTTCTACCTTCTTTACTGTGTTTGTTTATAAATGATTTAGGTCTGATCTCTCGGCTATGGCACGGTCATATTTGTAGTGCCCGAAACAGGGGTCTCCAGTGATTTGTTGAACTACCAGGACCTCATTCTCGGAGTAAGCGGCCTGAAGGCCCAGAGAATCCTTTTCATTTTTCTTTCATTTGGATAGCAAGGCATGAATGCTGTTTCAGTTATTTTCCATGGCAAGAAACGATTCTGGTGGATTATAATAAACTATAAGGTTTGGTATTGGAGGATCCAGTGTACAGGCACACACACACCAGGACTGTAGCACAGGGGAGTTTATTTGACATAAAAGGACAAGTTACTGGGTGCAGGAGAGCTGGTAGGAGGGGGGAAGCCAGAGCCAAGGGAGTGCACTCACTCACAGTTCTGCCCACGAACACAGCCATGAACAAGGAGTGATATCAAAAGGTCCTCAAAGAGCAACTTCTTCAAGTGATCCAGAGGCAATTTGGTGAAGATATGTGTGTTGTCCAGCATGATGTATCACCATGTCACAAGGCAAAAGTTCTAATGGAGTTGCACGAAAATCATGGCTTTGAAATTTTGGATCTATGGCCAGGAAATTCTCCAGATGTCAATCTGATTGAGAATCTATGGGTGATCATCAAAAAGCAGGTGGATAAGCAGGAGCCAAAACGTAATCAACATGGCACCCACCGAGGCGAACGTGTTTGCGCGTTCCACTCTTGAATGCTGGCTTTTTCTTTGTTTTCTTCTTTTTTGTGTTTTTTTGTTTTTTATGCAGTGCACAAATGTCATGCACTGCTTACATACAACAGACAGGCATTGTTGGATATCGCCAACTCACAAAGCCACTGGGAATTTAATGGTTTCATACCACCGGAGCTACAACCCATCGTCCGCTCCGGCTTCAGCGACAATAACAACAATGGCGAGGAAAGCCACCATTGCCCCCGGGGAGCCCCCGGAGCACCAGGCAGAAGTGAGCAGGCTGAAATCAGGAGACCAACCCAGAGACGAAGACGCAAACGGGGCAGGCGAGGGGGACTCTATGCTAGGCTAAAAGTTTGCGCTACCCGACCGCCATTACCCAGCCTCTTCCTAGCTAACGTACATTCTCTGGAAAACAAACTGGATGAGCTAAGGGCTAGGATTACAGCACAACGGGATGCTGTGCTCTAGTTCTTACCGAGACTTGGCTTTCTGACAGAGTTCCAGACTCAGCAATTCAGCTACAAACACATTCTGTACATCGAAGCGATCGTACTGCTGCTTCAGGGAAGGTAAAGGGAGGCAGTGTGTGTGTGTTTATCAATAACTTGTGGTGTGGAGATATACGGACTGTTTATAAGCACTGTTCACCAGACGTAGAGTTTTTATTGCTGAAATGCCGGCCCTACTATCTAGCAAGAGAGCATAGTGCTGTGTTTTTGGCTGCTGTGTATGTTAGCCCAAGAGCTAATCCCTC